TGACCCTAGGTCAACGCCTATCAATGCGTTGCAATGAAAGAACTAACACTCCGAAGAGTATATGAGTATAAACTGCTCCTCAATCCTCCAACAGTGCATGAGGTTAAACTGCTTCTTAAATACTCCAATAAGGTATATGAGTATAAACTGTTCCCTAATTTTTGAGAAGTTCCTGGAGAATGTTTTCTATAAATATTCTTAAGGATAACTCAAACAATAAGACGCCGGACAACGCGTTGCAGATAAAGACTCGACGCCAACAATCGATGGTTCCGACAAACGGTCAGACAATAAATGCAGCACCGGAACCCTTATAGACATTCGACAAAGCACCGAATAGCCTGAAGGATTGAAGGAATCAAGAATAGAAGCCACTCCAAATATCCCGAAGGATGGGACAATCATATCCAAAGTATTCCAGACTCTTCTATAAAAGAACGAGGCTGAAATACTTTGGAGGGGGTATCTGTAGGCGTATAAAATTGTTTATAGATCCCTTAGCACAGCTCAGCACAAACCGACGAACCAACGAGGCGACGAGGTTAACGAATCGCACGCAAACAACGGAATAGATCCACTCGCGTGCGGAATCAAGCTAATGGGTTGAAGAGTCAACGAGTCATCCATCAAAGGGCAGACTCGGACGAATCACGATCGAATCAAGATCAGTTTCGAACTCAAACTCAAAAGCCGATTTACTGCCTAATCGGGATCCAGACTTCCAAATCAAGATCCCGAACAAATCAAAGTTCACAACAGAACCACAACCGAATCACGGACAGAACCGGAACCGGAAACAACGGAAAAAGGGCTCGGCCAAGGCCGAGCCACCCATAGGTGGCTCGGCCAAAGCCAAGCCACCTATAGGTGGCTCGGCCCAGAGCCGGCCACCTATAGGTGGCTGGCCCAGATCTGTGCGCGGGCACAGTTCAGAGAGCCTATAAATAGGGCCCCTTGGTTCATTTGTCAAAGGTTGGAACTTTGAGAGCCGAAACTCTGCCGAATTGAGAATTGAGCTTGGAGTTTTGAAGACTTGAGGACTTGAACATTCAGATCTGGTTCTCGGCGCCAGATCTGGTGCTCGACGATCGTCAATGCCAAATAAGGCAAGAGTTCGAGAGGACCGGATCTCAGATCTACGCAGGCGTACTCCGGATCAAATCTTGGTCTTTGATCCCGAGAATTAAAGGCTACTATTTCCTTGGCGAAATAGTACCCTCAGCTATTATTTCCTTAGCGAAATAATACCCGTCGTACTGCGTAAATCCGATCGGATCTAGATCTCGCGGTGGTCCACGGATAAACCCCGGCGCAGGCAAAGAACCCACAAAAGCGAGCGACCGCAAAACAGGAGCTCGTGATTTGTTCGACACAAAAGGAGAAAGTTGTAATCTTTGTTTATTTTTCTTTGATTTTCATTGTAACCGGATCTTATAAAAAGACCGGATCTTTTGTAACTCAAAAGCTGTTATTTAAGAAGACAATGTAATCAATTATAAAGAAAGACACGATTTTTCCCGCGAACACTCGTATTTGAGCAACTAGTCTTGATTTTGAGGCCCGCCAAAGACATCCCATCGAGTGAAATATGACACCCTTTTGCCATTCTTCTTCTAATATGAATCTTGCCTGCATTTTATATGCATGAAAGTATTATTAGCTGAAGGACTAAATTGAAATATGACAGTCTTTTGACATAGTAGTATGTTCTTCTAACATTTGCATTTGGGTGGGGGATGTTGCCCTCCTCCTCAATGCACAGCTTCATGTGATGTTGCTGTACTAAATGATGTCCATGCTTATTTGCACCCAAGTCCAGCACTGGGTTTGCATTCTGATTGGTCTCTTTTCTATGAAACAAATGCAAAAAAAAAAACTATTATTTAGGCAGGGGAAAAGATCAATGTTTTTATCTCATCCTGCAGCTCAAAGGTGTTGCAGTGCAAGATGGTACTGCTGTCAAGGAGGAGATCTCAAAAGATTAGGGTCATGTTTTGGAGCTATGTCATCTGATTGTGCAATGAAAAAAAAAGGTGTATTGAAATATGACAGTGTACTGATCCGGGTATATTGAAGGAGATTTGCATATGACAGTGTATTGAAATATGACAGTGTAATGAAAAAAGGTATATTGAAGGAGATTTACATATGTTAGATAGCTTGTGTAAATTGATAGTAGATTATTACCTGAACTTCTTCCCATAATACAACTTTCAGTTCATCATCAAGGTTCCTCCAATCATCAAGTGTTACAGGTACATGCTCTCATACAAGAGGGCCCAAAAACGATGACAAGTGTACTGATCCGGGTCATATGGTTCACTAGAATCAGTAAATTGAATCTGAATTCGGTTCGCAGGGTCCCTAGCAAGTTTTTTCTTTTTTGTTGGACCCTTTTTCTTTTTTATGTCACTTGCAGCTTTAAGTGTATCTTGTGTTGGTGCATCTTCAGCTGTATCATCTTCTTGGACCATATCTTCTTCAGGAATATGGATATTTGGAACTAGTCCATCTTGGGGACCTTCTTGACTGACTTGCGTTAGGCTTTCCATGGCATTCACATCCCTCGCATCCAATTCTTATGACATTCCACCAGTTACCTTACTGTTCTTCCTTTTAGGTCGACATGTCTTTGTAGTCTCACTAACCATCCTCGTTTATCTATCATAGAAAAAATAAAGGTAAGTATCTATATAGTTAAACCTGGTTTCATATGTGAAACAAAATATACATATATCAAAATCATAAATGAACACAGTGACACATTTAAAGCATGAACAACACAAGAATCATTATAAATTAGCAGCCAATAAGACAAGATAAATCAAACACTTTAAAGTATGATCAACAATCAATTACTAACTAGTTCCAATCACACAAGTAGTCCCTCACAGTCCACCCTGACATAACTCTTTGTCTCATAATCATCAATATCTATTTTAATTTCCTGTGGCAAAAAAGATGCATCTGCAATCTCTTATTGATATAAAAGTTAATAAATATAAAAGAAAACTAAATAAGTACATAAATAGCAATGTACTTACTCTAAAAATGGATCCATTATTGATGTGTTCAGTAGTACTGAACGATGTGCAATATCTTTCTCTTTATCGGTAAGTGTGATTGAAGTAGTCTTAGATATAGGACGACTTCAAAAATAACATCATTTTCAAATTCGTCATTGCGAACTTCCTTTTCCTTCACATGTATTGACTGTTTCAGAAACTCGCTACAAAAGGTGATGCACTCTTCAGCTAGGTATGACTCTGCAATACACCCCTCAGGTCTTGCAGGATTTCAGACACATTTTTTTAGTGTCTTCATGTACCTGAATAAAAGAATTTAATTTTGTCCATGAGCAAATTTTATTTGCATAATGGATTTAAGCATGAAAAAGAATATTTAAAAAAAATCTAACCTCTCAAAAGGATACATCCAACGAAAATGAACCAGATCATACAAGCGTGCCTCTCTAGCTAGATGAACCGGTAAATGTATCATGATATCAAAAAATGATGGCGGAAAAAGCGTTCCAATTGGCACAAAGTTTCAATGATCTCATTCTTAAGGTCCAGCAACTTTTCTCTATCAATAGCACGCTGGCATAATCTATTTAAAAATCTAGATAATCGAAGTATCGCTTTTCTAGGCCCTTTCGGTAACAATCCTCTTATAGCAACAACCAACAATTGCTGCATTAGGACATGATAATCATGAGATTTAAGCCCGATAATCTTACAATCCTCTAATGTTATGCAGTTCCCGATATTTGAGCAATAACCATCAGGCCCTTTGAAGTCATATATCCTCTTGCAAAATCTTTTTTTTCCAGCCCTTGAAAATATATGTGGTGCTGGTGGAAGGTACAATCTGCTTCCCCGCTATTCTGGATGCAAATCTTTCCTAATTCCAATATCTTCCAAGTCCTTACGAGCATTTATCCCATCTTTTGATTTCCCACTATGCAACATAGTGCTTATTATGCTCTTATAAATGTTTTTCTCTATGTGCATCACATCTAAATTATGACGTAATAGAAGTTCCTGCAAATAAAAAATAGAGAAATACATTAAGCAATTATAAAGCTAAAACAAAATATATAAAATATGAAATAAAGGAAAAATAGAACAGTAACCTTCCAGTACGGTAAAGAAAAAAAGATTGATCTTTTCTTCCACCTAGTAAGCTCATTCTGATTATCAGTACGGTAAAGAAAAAAAGATTGATCTTTTCTTCCACCTAGTAAGCTCATTCTGATTATCAATGTCACTTGTGTCATCTTTTCTTCCACCTAGTAAGCTCATTCTGATTATCAATGTCACTTGTGTCATCCTCATCCTCATCATCATCGCCACCATTCTCATTATTATTCCTTTTCCTTTTCTTGTCTTCACCTTTTCCAAAATCATTTGGAAAGTCCTGTAGAATAGCAGAAATATTGTGACCTGTTAGAGCTCTGGGCTTGCTGCCATGCTCTACACTATTATCAAACCACGATTTCTTTCTTCGGTATGGATGTGAGGGTTTCAGAAATTTCCTGTGACCCATGTATGAAAACTTCTTGCTGAAGCATAACCATCTATGATGTGTATTTTTCCCACATATAGGGCATGCTTTTCTTCCTTTTGTAGCCATATGCTGGAAAGTCATTTATAGTCCACATCAACATTGTCTTCAAATTGAAAGTTGATTTGCTAATTGCATCATAAGCCTCAACCCCATTCTCCCACAACAATTACAAATCATCTATAAGTGGTTGTAGATAGATATCTATGTCGTTACCCGGCTGCTTTGGACCAGGAATCAACAATGTTAGCATAATATTCTCTTTCTTCATGCACAACATAAGAGTCAAATTATAATTCACAAGCATTACCGGCCAACAACTATATTTAGAGCTTAAGATGGAGAACAGGTTGAACCATCAGTAGCAAGTCCAAGTCTGAGATTGCGTGGATCAACTACAAATGAGGGCCATTTATCATTAACCAGGTCCCAAGCTAAAGAATCAACAGGGTGACGCATTTTCCCGTCAGTGCTTTGTTACCAAAATGCCATCTCAAATCTGTAGCCATTTGTGAAGACCTGAACATCCTTTTAAATCTAGGAATAATAAGAAAATATCTCAAAACCTTAACTGGAACACCTTTTCTGATTTCTTTAGTACGCTTATTTATCTTCCATCTTGAAGCACCACATTTTGGACAGTTATCCAGTTCCTCATACTTCTTTCTAAAGAGACAGCAATCATTCACACAAGCGTGAATCTCCTCATACTTCTTTCTAAAGAGACAGCAATCATTCACACAAGCGTGAATCTTTTCATACCCCATGTCAAATATCTTGAGGAAGCTTTTATTCGAGGCGGCTGAATCTAGCAAAACATTGTCCTTTGGCAACATACGTTGAATGATATCTAACAACTCATTGAAATGTTTACTTGATAATCCACTCTTACCTTTGAGTCCATACAAATCTACAATGGCTGACAACTTTGTGTAACTTTCACAACCTGGATACAAAGGAGTTTGTGCTTCTTGTAGTCTCCTCATGAACTCGTCACCATGTCCATGTTCAGTAGGTTCATTAATAGGTATAGGCTGGACAAGTTCTTCATCCATAAAGTAGGCAGCTTGGAATAAGTTATATGTCTCGTCCTTAGTGGCTTCATAATCAAGCTTCTCACCACTTTCTTGTTTCTCTCCATGCTTATTCCAATGTGATTTCATTCGGTACGAAAGATCCATCCCCTTTGTAACCAAGTGTTCAAAAATAGTACTTTCATCTTGATGGCTCATATTACGACATTCCGTGCAAGGGCAGAACATCCTTGTAGGAAATCCCAAATTCTTTTCAGCTGTCTCTACAAATTGTAATGCTTTTTGCTGGTACTCGAGGGTGGATCTATGATTTTCAAAGAAAGATAGCAAGAAAAAAAATACATTCCAGATCTAGTTAAATTACTACATTTTACAAGTATTGGTGAACCAACAGATTAAGATATGATTCTTACCCATGGAGCCACACCCACTCTTTTTCCATCATCTTTTCAATGAAGATTTATGCAAGCAATGTCTAAAATATGAAAACAAAATAAACTAATTCTAATTGATTAATAGAAACCAGCAATTATATAATTCATCAATGAGTAAAATACACGATAACTAAGAAATTGAACTAAAAAACTGAAAAACCAGCAATTAAATAATTCTTCAAGTTATTGATCTTCACCTCAGTCTCCTCATCAAGCCTCTTCAGATTGCTCCCTGAGCTCCCAGTGCTCTGCATCACAAATAAACCACATATTCATCACAACTAATCTCACAAAATAACTACCCAAAAAAATCAAAAATCAAAAGAAAAGGGTTTTAGACATCGGTTCTCTTAAACCTTTCAGATTAACTACCCAAAAAAATCAAAAATCAAAAGAAAAGGGTTTTAGACATCGGTTCTCTTAAACCTTTCAGATCCTCAAATTAATCCCTTGAATCTTCAAAATTGCTACTACTGCGTGGTATTGTTTGAGATCGGGTATTGTTTGGGGAGAAGGAGAAGGGAGGGTTTCGGCGGTGGAGGAGAGACGAGGAGGGGCTCCGTCTCCGGTGATCAAAGAAGAGGGGGGTCGGGTTTGGAGACGGCAGCGGCGGAGAGATGCTACGACAGCGAATCGGAGGTCGCACTGGCGACGAGTCCCTCGGAGGAGGCAGCGGCGACTCGGAGGAGGCAATCGGAGTTGGCGATGAGCTGTTAGGGCTTGGGTGAAAGAAAAGGAACGGGAAGGAAAAGCCCTTTGTGGGTATTTGTGGGGGTTTTTAGAAAAGGAAACAGAAACGAAAATAAATTGCGATGATGTACTTATGCGTCTGTTTTAATTTTCAACGCGCCCGTTCTAATTTTTAGTCTCCCGCTTAAGTTTTCAAGGCACCAGAACAAAAAAAAAATTTTGAGATCAAGTATTTATAGCATTTAAAATTTTTCAAACGCTATCAAAAAATAAGGCACATATGATCTATAGCACTTACAACATAAACGATATCATTCAACGCTATAAAAAACAGCTTTGTTGTAGTGACAGCACAGCTGGTCACTCCAGAGCACCAAGAAGGTGGATTGCGAGTATGCTACAATCAATTATGAAGAGGCGTCCATATATCACCCCAACTAACATTAGAAAGGAATTACACTCTCAATATGGTTTAAAAGTTAAGTATTCTAAAGTTTGGCGTGTTAAGGATGTTGGAAATTATGGTTAAATCTGGAATTAAATAGTAAAATTATGATGTGCTATAATTTTAAATTTTTTCAGTCCACTGCAGTGCGTTTGAGAAACGTTGTGCTTAAAGCAATATTTGGCTTACTCCGATGCAAGGATCTCAAGGCCAAATTACTTCCAGGAACAATAGCACAGTACTCTGGTGTGCACCAACCCGGTACTATCAAGATCTCATTGATCTATAAGACCTTTCGGTCAAAGCAAAGATCTCCTCGATATCAGAATCTTTCGGTTCAAAACAAAGATCTCTTCGATCTCAGAACCTTTCGGTTCAAAACCTTTCAGGTTTTAGGGCAAGTTCCTATGGGCACAATTTCTACAGTAGCAGTACAATAATAACAACAACATCGATCCGACGTTCGTTTTCCAAGCTTGCATGTGTGTATTCATGAGCTGCCCAAGGGCGCTATTTATAGGCCTCTAAGGTCAGCTCAAGAGTCACTCGTAATTAATGTGGCTATTACAATTCTCAATGGCAATTAAGATTGTAACATTAATATATTAAATTGCTCTAAATGTTGCTGTAACTGCTACATGCAGTAACTACTGAATATGAGACAATTAATGAACGCGTTGCTACGAAACGCGAGGGTCATGTCTCAGCAAATTAGACGAACCTCGTTTGACAAATGAACCTCATCAAACAGGTGAACCTAGTATGACAGACGAACCTCGTCGAATGAACGAACATCGTCAAACAGGCGAACCTCGTATAATAGACGAACCTCATCGAACGAGCGAACCTCGTCAAACAGGCGAACCTCGTATGACAGACGAACCTCGTCGAACAAGCGAATCTCATATGATAGACGAACCTCGTCGAACAAGTGAACCTTGTATGACAGACAAACCTCGTCAAACGAACGAACATCGTCAAACAGGTAAACCTCGTATGATAGACGAACCTCGTCAAACTACGAGAACGCTAGGGTCACATCCTAGTGTGAATGCGTAGCTCGTCTGCATGCTGCGAAGCAACCTGTGAGGCAACCTTTGTGGCACTTTGTGGCAGCCAAACAGCACCATCTCACCCTGATGCCTCCGTACGAAGGGCAAAGTGCGCCTAATAAAGCGCCACTTAGCGCCTCAGTTGATTAGCCCTAATCCCCAGCCCCCAGCCCCCGACCCACGGCCTACGGACCACAGACCACGTCCCACGGCCCACGACCTACAACCTACAACCCACTAGAACTTATGAGGGATTAATTCAAATAAAACACTTCTCGGCTTGTCGTTGGCAAGCCTCGAACAAGGGACCTTTTGAAACATCAAAACATTAACTTTCCACTAAGCTACTAAGCATTTATAAAAAGTACTTATAGTTAATATATATATATAGTTTGAAAACTTATTTTGGAAAGCGGTTTTGACCAAAAAAATCCAACAAATGAGACATCAAAAGACCAAATATTTGGTTGCGCAAGGCATTCATATGATTTACTATCATGTTAGTCCATTAGTTTGTTGATGTCGTATCACAGTTAACCGTAAATGTGATATGTCAGAACGCTATGTGACACATAATCATAGCATGTGATATTTCAACGACATACGTGACACTTCAAATCTAAATGTGACTCTTCAACCTTCTATGTGATATTCAGATTTGTTTTGTGACATTTGAGTATTACATGTGACATTGAGACCTCATATGTGACATTAACATATTATATGTGACTGTTAGAACTTATTCATCATTTAACAAGTTATTTGTCCTTTTAACTATCATTTAAAGGTACCAAATGAAGGTGATGGAAACAAACCCAGGTAGTGTCTTCATCATTGAACAAGAAGAAATGAGATTCAAGCGTTTATTTGTGTCATGTGGTGCTGCATATAGAAGTTTCTCAAGGAATGTAGGTCATTGCTCTTTCTAGATGGGACGTTTCTGAAAGATTGTTACAAAGGGATCTTATTAGATGTGACTGCTTATGATGGTAATCAAGGTATATTTCCACTCGTATTTTGCGTTTGTGACCAAGAAAATGAAGCGAATTGGAGTTGGTTTATTCAATGATTGTGGTATATTTTTTTACAAACGAACAGAACCATATAATCCGCCCCATCCTCTAGTCATTTTGTCAGATGCCGACAAATGAATAAAATAATCTATTAAAGATATATTTCTAGATGTGTACCATTCTAGATGTATTTCTAGATGTGTACCATTCTAGATGTGTACTTCATCTTGTTGAGAATTACAAATTGAAGCTTAGAGAGATGAGTTTTGACTCAAGTGCTGCTCAACGAATTTCAAAATTATTGGAGTTTACTGCAAAAGCTGTTTTACATGAGATTAGGATGACGGATCAAAGAGCTTACCAAGTAGCTCTTAGTTATAGTCCAAATAATTGGGTGAATTCTGCATTTCCTGGTATAAGGTTCGTCAAATATCAACCATTTTCTGTGAATTTGATCTGTTAAATGTCACATTATATTTTTATATGCAACATTCGTCTGTTATGTGTGACCTTTACTCTTATCTGTGAATTTTCTCATGTGGCATCACTCAATTAGATGTGACTCTTATCTGTGGGCTGTGACAATTAGCTGTTGCTTGTGACATTTGTTGTTTATATATGACACATGGATGTACTTTGTGATAGTGAATTTCTGTTTGATACATATGATATTTATTTATAGATATGGTCATATCACTTCCAATATTGTTGAATCTGTCAACAATCGAATTTATGCGATGAGAACACTTCCTGTTTGTGATATAATGGATCACATTCGTGTTGAATATCATATCTCCATGATAGTATTTTGATGATAACAATTTATACAGTGTGTGCACTAACTTTTATATGCAGATTTCAATATCAGAATATGAACAAGTGCAAGATGTTTTCAAGACATTATGAAGTGAAGAAAATGAAGAACAGATGAGATAATGTATTTTATATTTTCTTTACTTAGAATTATTGTACAAGCCTTGATCATACACACGTACACACACAATATTAGAACACACTAACACATGCTTAGTGTGTTGGTTAACTATAGAAATCTCCTATGTTAACCATTAGAATTATAGTTAAAACTTAAGTATAAAAATATTTTATATCATAATTTTTACTCTTAGTAGTCGACTAATTAGAATAGTAGTCGACTACTCATGTATAAAACTTAAATATATATTTCTAGTGATTATAGTCGACTACTCAGGTGTTTTACAGAAACATAAGTTTCTGTCTTTTTATAGTATAGTCGACTAATCAACATTATAGTCGACTACTGAACGCAAATTTCATTTTATCAGTTTCTGTCAAAATACAGTGTAGTTGACTAATGAGCATTGTAGTCGACTACTGAGAAATTTTCTGAATACACAGAGTCTGTTTGAACTCAGTGTAGTCGACTAATGTGTATTGTAGTCGACTACAGATATAGTTTTTCTAGATTTTAAAGTTTGAATTTGTGACTGTTTATAGCCATTTTTAAACGTTTTTAAAGTTCAAAAAAATTGTCTTTTAAAGGGCTATAAATAGGTTATCAGTTCAAAAAAAAATGCAGAGACTTACATACCCATAAGCTTTGATCTTTGTGCATTTTTTCAAGTGAAAAATATTCAGATTTTGAGAAAAAGAAAAGTTTCTGAAATTGCCTTTGGACATCATTCAAATACTTATTGTTTAGGCAATTTACAGAGGTTAAAAAGAATCCTAAGCCACTGTTGCACTTCACTACACATTCAAGGTTTATAGGATCAATTGTGTTATTGCTTCAAAAAGGATTTCTCTCGGGTTTGAGAGGGTTGATCTCTTGG